GGCGCGCTGGAGAACGTGTCCCGTTCGGGGGACCAGGTTTTCAGCCTGTTATTGTTGATCTTCGAGATTCGCTCGCTACGTCGCTAACGTAGTCCTTGGATGCTGTCTGGATGTTTGAATCAACTGTGGATGGGCTTCTTTCATCAGCGCCTCCAATATGAGATAATGGTATCGACACATAAATGCAGTTGTCATGTTTTGGAGGCTTTGGTTTCGACAATGATATTCTTGATCTTGGATCTTCGATGGAGTGCCCGTCCAACGCTTTGCAACCCCCAGCTTTTGCCCTCCTGCTGTATCTCTTGCTTCGCTTATGGTCCAATGTTGGACTATATAATCCCAAAAGTCTTGCTTTTGCTAAACGAACAGAAATATAATAGCCTTTGCGGTGCCCATCCCCATTTCTCATCGTATCTCAAAGAGTCTCCAGCTTTACAATATCAATTTGCAGCTAAGGCGGCCAGAGTCATCGATAACCCTTGCTGTCAAATGCCTCTGCCAGAATGCATCACCACTGCTTCGAGATAGAGGACTGGGCTGGTCTTAAGTATGACTCTGAAATTGAAATTCCCCTGCCGGGAGGACCTTTATTGGGGTGGAATACTGTGACGAGCGGAATCTTCGCCATTGAAAATCGCGCGAGGACGCCAGTTCACTATATATACCTACCATTTAAACAGACAGATACACAGAATTGGCTAACTATTCAGTTACCACTAGGCCAGACGGCGGTGAGCATGAAAACGACCTAGTTACCATTGTTACTCAGTGGTCAGGTCAGTATTGGATTCATTTTCACGTTTCATTTGCCTCACACGCGCAGCCCAACTCTCACGAATACGTTGCAGAAGTCCGCCTCGTTGGATTGCCCACGAGAATGCCTCATCCACTTGCCCTAGCTACAGTGGTATTCTTGCAGAGATGTTCGTCGGAATTGTACAATCAAAATACAAAATAGTATGCTTCTTTCCCGTCCCGTTTTATCTATCTCACAAGGCTTTTCATAAAATCTTTCCGTCCACGATGGGCGCTTTGCAGCAATGAGAGTCCAAGGATCGACATTTGTGCTATTCCACTGATCCCAAGCAATTTATTGCTCGTGCCGATAGTGTTATACCTCGATATTCCCACTCTCACTGACAACTTCAAGGCCAATAGTTGCCTTGGTCGCAATCCCAGCCCATACCCAAACAGCACACAATATTCTTCGCGCCCTTTTCACGCATTCGCCTCCCAATCTGTCATGATATTTGCACTCAATTCGAAGGCAAGGGCCAACTATGATTGTACACCGCTCCTCTCTTGAACAAATTACATGGCTCAGACCAATATACAACAGTGAAATGGGAGGATTGGGGGCCATATATCGCTCGATGGCTGCCCACGTCCGATGCTCCCGGAGACACTACAATCGAAGACCGCGCTTTTAAGGAGCCTGTAGCAACTAGGCTCCCATACGTCGCTACCACATCTGTGCTAGAACCTGTCAGTGATGCGGAAATTGCACAATAAGGGTCGATGAAGAGAGGCTTGTGGTCGTTAAAGTAAGTGCTTCTCCTTCTACCGGCACTCGCCAAGCCTAATTCTTGTCGCCATCCATGATCCGTACATTTCAGCCGGGATGAAAATTTTCCACATTGGCGCATCATCTGGGACAAAACGAGTAGGACGCAACAGGTATTTGAATGAAACGATTAGACATTTAGACTATACACCTTTCCCCCTGCCCTCATCGGCAAGAACATCCCATCTAGCACATGTACCAGGTTAAAATTGAATGGAACGAAGTTCTATAGATTGCGAATATCCATCGTGATCCAGCAGGGCATGTCCTGCGGTTGCTTCCAGATTGTTCAGTCTCGTGGCGTACGGTTCCACGTGAGTATGTAGTTCACGACCTCTTACTCGTTTAACCCGGAGAAGTGACATAAATTTGACTACATGGATGTGGAACATCATCGTGATTCTAGTGGACACCATTTCCTTCAAGGTAGCCTCTCGATGACAAGCAAAGCCAACTTGCCAAGCTGGTCTCAAGTCTGCCCATGAATGTATCAGTGTTTGAACCGGCGATGGGAAATTGTGTTTGAGCACAATAAGCAGTACAAACGACACAGGGCGCCGCACGAGTCCGATGGCAACAGTAAACTTAATTGTTCCCCACGCGCGTGGACTTGATCGATTTACCATGAAACCCAAACCGTCGCCGACTGCCATGTGAATCTCTGACCTGAACTGAAAGGGATCCTAAAACTCAAGGGACGTTGGGGGGCCAAGGACAGAAGAATGGACCCTCGAATGCATGTCTATTATGATATGCGCAAGTTCACGTTCGTTAGACAATCAAGCTATATATTAGCTGGGGACATGACATTTTTATATCCATAGTCGTAACGCAATCCGACAGCAATCTGAATAAAGAACTGTTGTTAGTTTTGTTCAACAAAGGGCATGATCAAAGGAGAAGCAAAAAGAGTCTCAGCAAAAAGAGTGAGTTCATTCCCGTCCGAAGACAAATCGTACTCATTAAAATCAGTTTATATTTTTAAAATCCTCGACAGCAAGAATTTGCAGTGGAAAATGAAAGGAATAGCGACAAACTCGCACCTTTTTTGGGACTAGCGCTGGTCAAAGAGAAACGAGTAAGGACGGGAGGGGAAGATGATGGGAAGAGCACGGATGAAATTTTCACTGGATTATTAGGGTTCGGCGTTTGCCGATCAACCTCCCGGAGTACGATCAATCCCCAACGCCGAAAGTTCACTACACACCCGTCAAAAACGTTTGCTTGTGCTTTCTGCCAGTTCAGCTACATTCTCTGAATTATGCCCAATATACCACCTTCATACTGAAATTCATTGATTGGCTGCCATCTGTATCCTGTGACCCAGTTGCCACGCGGCCTTCGGCATGACGGCGAATGACGGCCGCGACTCAAATCGCCTTCCATGACGAAATGACTTCTGCTAGCTTTCATCTTCACACCACTTTCATCGAAAATGCCAGTAAAGCTCTCTGGAAGTTGTCATTGTGGCGCAGTCAAATTTACTGTTGATTCGAGCACTGCCGTGCCTTATCAGGTTCCTTTTGCCTCCCCTGGTGCCGATCGTTGTTCAACTGATCTGAGTTGTCTGGTCGACGCAGTTATGTCTCTGTTCCATATGCCGTAAAGTCGGCGGCGTAGGCGGCTCTATCAATCTCGGAGGTCACAGTAAGACGCTCAAGATCGAGGGAAAGGATCATATCAAGTCAGTCCAACTGACATCAACCAATCGGCAAAATGATCTGACAAAATGTACAGTGTATATAAGGCCGTTATGAACCGTGATACGCCTGACGAATACATTGCCTCGTCGGAGCGTAACTTCTGTTCAAAATGTTCGAGCATGCTTTGGTTGTACGACGAGACCTGGTACGCTTCCTTCTTCAAATTCTTCTCCCGCGAATTGACTATCTGAATTCGACCCAGGCCCGAACTCATCCATCCGTTCGCATCAGCCATCGACTCTCCTGAGCTCAAGGCCCCCGATACGCTCGTACGTTGCTACATTTCTTCTTGTTTTGAGGGGCGATCTGACATGCATGTTGTTGCGTTCGCAGACCTGCATCAAACTCGACTCCAAGCCGGCGTACGTCCGCCTCCCAGAAGGAAAGAAGAAAGAATATGAGGAATACGGGCCCGAATCGTTGGAGGAATGGCATAAGAACCATAAAGAGTTCGTGGAGTAGGCATTTTTGCATAATAGAGGAAATGTTGCAACGAGCACAGAATAACCATGTTGTTTCCAGCCTCAGCATCAAAACCTCAAAGCTTGTCACCATGTTTCAGTGGCACCCAATGAACTTCGAAGCTCCTGCATTGTGGTAGGGGAAACAGCTAAGAAACTGGTCAACACCAAGGGGAGAAAACGAGATCGTGTCGTCTACAGAGCTTTGGACTGGGGAACGATTATCGTCAAGCATGGAAGGTTATGATGTCAGATTTCAGCGAAACGAAGCCATCCGATAGCAGTAAAGATTCAATCCCAGTCATAATACTCTGTTAGCGGTCCAACTATTCCTTCCCAATGATAGATACTGACTGTGGTTGCTCACAAAATTCAGAGACGCTGTTGCCACCACCTCGATGGTTTGCGCCACGTAACACTGCCCCTCTTTGATTTCGTGGTCCTTCCTTCGATCGGAGATTTATCTTCTGAAAGAGGATATATATAAGGACATGAGTCCCTGGTGGTTGGGCGATTATGAGGGCGAAGAGGGCAAAGTAGTAACAAGCGAGCTCGTGGGCAAGATGTCATTTCGAACTCTGCCGGATTCGACTGAGAAATTATCCGCCAATCAATCCACCCAAGGCTTGCGACATGCCATAGGCTTGGGTCATTTGCATGTTGATGTCGTGCGTTCTCAGTGCGTATTTCAATCCTTTTTCTTTTTTTTTTTGATTACTGTATCTGTTCCCTTTCTGACACCCTGAATATAGCAGTTTTAGTTTGACTCCAGTTTTAATCCTTACCGCGTGAGACGACCCTATGCTGACAGGCTTTTGGAATTATGACAGTAAGTCTCGTTTCTTGCTCTTTCCCTTGATTGACTGAATAAGTATTCTACTCTCGAAATGATGCATCACGAGTCACAAAACTTACAGTGCAAAGGTAATTTGATGTGTTCTACTTGATTATCATCATTTTAATGCCCAAAATATCCAGCAATGCGACTCCTGCTCGTCATATTTTCCCGTCTTTGTAACTTTGCTACGACATTTACCTCTGGGCTGCTTTCAGCCCGGAACTTCTCAGCATCTCCGAAGTAGACTTTGTAACTACATTGTCGCACTGCAATTGACGCAAGGGTCTTGGGATCCAACCTCGTTCTCTTGTAAGTCCCTTTTATCGCATCACCAAACCTTGAGTCTTGACATATCGATTGCCGCTTCGACTGGAACAAAGTAGGTGTCAAGGAGCTCTGCGAGTCAGAAGCTTGCCAGATTAACTCGGCCAATGTCCGGTATGGTGTAACGGCTAACATTGCCGCCTTTCATCACTGAATTTCGCGGCAGCTCGGGGTTCGATTCCCCGTACCGGAATGAGTGTCGCTGGGCTTTGATTTTGTCCTTCACAAATAACAATTGAGACATACCATATCTACACTTATGCATTAACCCGATCACAAAGCACGCCAACTATGTCACCCCAGAAAAAGAGAAACCATACATACGTCCACTTCAGTCCAAGTCGGTCAATCCCGACGCCACTTCCACACCTCTCGAAACGCTGGAACTATCCCAATCACCAATGATTCAGAATCCTATCGTTGATAGTGTTGCAGCAGGTGAGATTGTCGCTTCGCTCACTCATCTGGGTGTTCTAGAGCCCGAAACTGCATACATCTGAATGAAATACTCAATGCAGAAATGCAGAGAGGGGGAAAACCATGTACAATGATGCAGATGATGAGGACATTCATCAGACAGTTCTTGATTGACGCATGGCAGAGGAAAACATTGAGATCAACGGGGGTGACGACGCGGAGGAAATGCCATCTTGTCAGGAAGCTCTGGTTGCTGCTTCAATGCTCCGCAACTTCATCTCGGACATTGATAAGTTGGAAGTGATTCTTGCAAGTTTTGGTTGTCAAATACATTGGAAAACAGTTTAAACATAGAATAATATATAGATAACCTTAAATATACCAAAATTACCCATTATAAGCCTGGGGAATGACCCTATAACGAGATCTGTGGTAACCCATACTTTGCCGAGACCTATGGCTTATAACAGCTTCGACTGTATTGTCCTTTCTAAGCTCCTCTCTCCCTCCATATTTTTTGGTCTCACCATTAGGCGTTGATATTTGATGTACAATCATAATGGAACCCTTTGAGCCAGAACTGATATGCAACGCGGAATGGTGGAGAGTTTGCAACGTGTTGCTATCGCGTGTATTCTTCATTTTCTGTGTTACTCTACTTGATTCCTCACATCGAGGTGTTGAGTCTCCTATTCCGTATAGTTTACCTTACTTACGTAATGTAGACAGCCAATACCCCGCCCGCCCTAAATTCTGCTGCCGAGCCGATTTACATACCGCCACCTTGATCCCGCCTATGGCCACAGCCCCTTCGGTAATGTTCCACCGCGATTGGCGTCATTCCGCCCGTTGGGCTCGCCTCCTTTGTCTCATTTTGCATTTGCAGCACATATCGCTTGTTCCGGTGCCCTAATTTGCGTTCGTTCAAATGAGATGGGTTATCACTTCAACTG